AAGGACTGTTGGTTGTAATTTTGATTACTAAATAAAAAATTGGATCAGACAGCCAACTCTTGGTTATCCAAACTCTGCATGGCTTAAGTCTGCCCTCTTACATTTTCCTAATTTGGTAATTTTCTTTGGAGCTCTTCTCATTAGAATCTTGACCAGAGTCAGGGTGAGGGATGGGAGGGATGGGAAAGGATGCTGAAACTCTTGCCCTTCTCATGGGAAGCCTGGGTGATAAGTTCACTCACACTGATGTCAAAGAATGTTCACGTCATCTGGTTGTTGGTTTATTCTTTCTTTCATTGAGTATTATTCCAGGTACTCTGCTAGCACTGGGGATACTGTGGTCCCTGCCCTCAAGGAGACTGGGGTATGGATGGGGTGCGATAACAAATCAGCTTACTAAGTTTTATTATAGGTAGAGTATATGGGAACACAAGGTGATGAATGACTTAGTTGGCCTCCTTCAGTGTTAATGATGAAACTGAGGCACGTGGGGGCCAAGTGCTGTGTGGTCCTGGGCTACTCAGTCCTAATGCCTAGTCCAGCCCTTTTCTGATTGCCTCATAGACTGTTGAGACATTGGCTAAAAGAAGCTGTATGGATTTTTTGTGACCCTCATGTTCAGTGGTGTTTCATTAATCATGAGGGTTAGTTAAAGCTAACCCTTTTATTTAAGAGCTCTTAAATCACCTGTAAGTGGGTGAGATGCTTACATTATGAGAGACCTACAGGAATTAAGATCAAGGAAGCAGCAGATTCCTGTGCCCTATGTCACACCCCTTGTGAGTGCGTCCCTTGAATGGAGTTGGTGGCAGAAGCACCTGCATTGGACTGTCTCGCCCCCTTCTTCCCCCAGACTTTTGTGTATTGGACAAATATACATATGATGTCATCTCACTGTAATCATGTCACCTCTCCTCAAGTGTTAGTGGGTAATTGTGAAAGAATGATCCATTTAGGGAATATAGCTATTGGAGCAGTTAACAGGAATGTTTGTGTCACTGGTAACATTTCTTTCTGGAATTTATTATAGTGTAGCCAAGGAGGGTTTTAGGGAAAAAATGAGCCGTTGGAAAAGTGGTAATGATGGAAACGGAGGCACCCAGGGACATTGAGTGGTACACAGTGTATCTCGATAAATCTCTGTGGCAGTCCTGTGAGGGGAGAGTCCCTCTACCCCTTAATGACTTTCCTGTGTTGGGATTGAATTGAATTTATCTCCCTTTTAAAGTTAAAACCTGAGCTTCTGCGAGATTAACTAATTTAGCCTGGGTGTTGAGGCTAGCCGGTGAGCTGGGTTTGGAAATCAAGTCAGGTTGAGTCTTAATACCGCATGCTCCGTCCTCCACCCCCAATACTGTGTTCTTCATTTACTGCATCGAGTGAAAGTTGACTCCCTTGCTCAAAGGATGTATGAGGAGGTGAAGATGTTAGCTCTGCAGGCACAGATATTCTAAGCTCACCTTGTTTGATTAGATCTTATTATTGGTAACAAGCAGATGCTTGTTGCTATACATTCAGAAGCCAGGTAGATTGGGTGGTAGTTTACCCATTAGATGCATTTTTAGGATATTCCTAACGTGTGGCTGATACTCTCAGAGTCACTGGATACATGTTTCCAGGATGAGGTGGATTTTGAGCCGGGCTGGAAGGGACCTGAGGAATAGAATGCCAGAATGGTTATTTTGGTATCCAGTACGGGGAGCTTTCCTCAGCCAGCCCCAGTCTTGTGATTGGAAACTCTCTGCCCATACAGGGTCTCATCTTACAATTGGATTGTAAAACCAAGGGCCTGTATAACTGTGGATTATGTATGTGGTAGCTTCTGGGGCTTTGTCCTGGCCCTTGTCCAGAGTAGGTAATTCCATCCTGCTGAGCTCCAGTTGACCAAATTGCAAGAGCCTGGACACAGAGTTCTTCCCTTTGCAGTAAATGAATAAAAACATGAGAGCATTTAGAACAGTGCCTGTATTTACTAAAATGGATGGATCAGGGGCGCCTGGGTGGCTCAGTCGGTTAAGCATCTGCCTTTGGATCAGGTCATGATTCCAGAGTCTTGGGTTCAAGCCCCGCATCGTGCTCCCCGCTCAGCAGAGAGTCTGCTTTTCCCTCTGCCCCTCACCCTGCTCGTGCTCTCTCTCTGTCTCTCTCTCTCTCACACATACACACTCTCTCTCTCTTTCTCAAATAAATAAAAATCTTTAAAAAAAAAAATAAAATGGATGGATCAGTTAATGCTAGCTAATATTGCATTCCCTAACCAAGGACTAGTGATTCTTAGCTTTAGAGGTAACTTGAAGAGGTTGTCAGCAAGACTCTACTACCTGTCTTTAAGGTACTTCACCTCTCATGGAAGTTCAGCTAGTTGGAAATTTTTCCGTATGTTGAGTCAGAATCTTCTTTGGAGCTTCTACAGAATGGGTCTACACCCTCCCCATGTGACAGACAACTCTTAGAGGTTGTTCAATGTCTAGGGACACTAAGCTTGGCAATTAATGATTCAGAAAGATCTTACCAGCTTGGAGTCATGGCTTAAGGGTAAAAATAATGGAATTTAATAGGAATAAATATAAACTCATATTTTTAGCTCCTAAGCCAGTTGCATAAGAGAGGAGTTTCAGGAACAACACTTGGGAGCTTGGAGGTTTTATGGATCATAGGTCCACCTCTGAGTGTCATTTATGGAGGGTGTGGACAAACTGGGATGCATTTCTGAGGGCTGGGCAGAGGGACGATGTGAATTATGTCTAGTCTGGATCACAGTCAGGAGCCTGGGGGCTGTTCCTGTCATGCCTAAATGGTGTTGGGGGTGGGGGAGTGGATTTGCTCCCACAAGGGATGGATAGACCTCCAAGGGATGGATAGATGGAAGTTAACCGGGACATGGGTTTTAGCCTCCTAGATAGAAGGATTTCAGCATGCCAGTACAAAGGAAGTGGTACTAGGGAGGTAGCCGTTTCCTTGCCATTGGTGATGTTCAAGTGCAGACCGTATGACCAGCTGAAGGAAGAGGAAGAAGGCATGTCAAGCATAGGCTCAGGGGGTGCTGGTGTGCTTTGGTCTGGAGACTGAGGCTCTTATACGGTGGTGTTCTTCTTAGGCAAATAGAGATCCCCTCGTCCCTCAGCTGGCCCTCACTGTCCTGGATTCTGTCCCTCTGCTTTCGTGGTTGCATGCTGGGCACATCCACTGCTCATGGTAAAATGTGGCTCCCTGCAGTGAGTTCATACTGCTGTGAGCGGCTCAGAGCTCAGGGACAGGCCTGGGCTTTTGTGTGTGCCATTTGTTTTGTTTTGTTTTGTTCTGGTTTTGGGTCAGGTAGAGAGGGACAAGGTGGATTAGCCACTACCTCAGAGCGTTTGCTCATCTTCTCATACTTTTGCCAATAAACTGCTTTGGAGGCGGAACAGCCTTTAGGGTAGAATGGTACAGTTCAGCTTGAATTTTTGTGAGCCTCCAAAATCCCCACCAAAAAAAAAAATGTAATAATTTGAGAATTCAAAAGACCCACACTGGAGGCATTGTGGAGTTCATCTGCAGGTCAATCACGAAACCTTTTCTTGTGGCATAACTGATACCTCTCAACACTGGGTAGTTTGTAGAGTCCTGTGTTAATGTACATGTGTTGGTAAGCAGTAGTAAATATTTTGCTGACAAGTTCTTTGAGTGATGGATCCATGGCAGCATTTAAAAGCAGACAACCTGAGGGTTTCTTTTATCCAGGTGCTGCTAGATCCCGAAAGCTGTCAGGGTACGAAGCCAAAAGCACCCACTAGTTACACCATTAATTGTGTAACGTTCATGGGCCCCTGAGTTTCTGCACCTGGGATCTGTTGATATACACAGCTGGGGGAGGGCAGGTGGAAGGGCGGCAGCTGGGAGAGAGAAGGAGAGAGAAGACAGGTTGCTTGCTCTCAGGTGACTGCTTCCCCACTCAAGCCCGGGGCCTCCCCTCTTCGATCCATCCCCAGGAGCATTCCTTCTCCCTTTTTGGGGAAGCCTTTGAATTAATGATCTGATGCCTTTTCAACAAAGGAATATTGATATGTTAGTGTGCAGACAGCAGGGGGTACTGGATTAGATCATTTTCACATTGGTGTTTGTGCCGGTTTGACATTTGTTTGGAAAGCTTATCCCATTATGACCATAGGTTACATGCATAATTTAAGGGGAATAAATCTTTGAGAAAAATTTCTTTTGGTTCTGTAATCTTCAGTGCTACAGAAAAATAAATGAAAGACTCCCTATGGTTTTCATGTGATCAGAAATTCCAGGTAGGCTCCCGGATGAAGTGCCCCATGTAGGTGTAAAACATTTCTGCAAATGCGCTGGCCCCTTGTAGTCGGTGCGGGGAAGGCAGAAGTGGGGACAGCTTGGTCCCTGCTTCAAGGTTATAGTCTAGAAGCAGAGAGTGGCAAAGTGACCTGAGTGTGTAGGGCAGAAGCCCTGCTGAAAAATGCTGTCCAGGAGCAGATACAGGGCCCCTGGTATTGCTGTTTTAGTGGAATGAGTATTTGTGATAACAAAATTATCTCCTCCTTCCTCCAACCTGCCACCGTCTTGCATTTCAGTGATCTCAGTGACAAATACTGGGATGGTTTGACATTTTCGAGTTATCGTGCCAATTGCCATAGCAATTGTTTTACTTTATTTTCTTTGAGACAGCTTGTTTTGCTGTGGACATTTGATTATCCGTGAGCGAAGTGCTCCTGGTAGGTTGTAGGCATCTGGTCAGTGTTTTTGCCGGATTCACAGTGAACTTGCAACTCTGAGGGAGCCCGGTTCTCACGTCTGTGAAGATTATCCAGTTTCTGCCTACCTGTATGCGTGTTTAACGTGATATGTAAAGAACAAAAGCCACTTGGATCCCCAAATTCTGTATTCTCCGCTAGGAGTTCTTCTCCAAGCAAAGCTGGTGCCTGAAGAATAGGTAATAGAGCGAGGAAGAGCAGTATTGTTGGTCATTACCTTGTCCTTATACTATCTTTTCATATCTCTCTTAGGTTTATTTGCTTGAAAAGGCTCCAGGCTTCGGCTTGGAAAATCCAACCGCCAAAATTGAGCCCAGCAGCTGGAGCGGCAGTGAGAGCCCTGCCGAAAACATGGAAAGAATGAGCGACTCTGCGGATAAGCCAATTGACAATGATGCAGAAGGCGTCTGGAGCCCCGACATTGAGCAGAGCTTTCAGGAAGCCTTGGCTATCTACCCACCATGCGGGAGGAGGAAAATCATCTTATCAGACGAAGGCAAGATGTATGGTAAGCGGTCTGGAATGCTCCTTTGAGATGTTGCAATGTGCTTTTATGATAAGGGGTGATTGCAGTTAGCCCTCTACTGAGATCCATTCATTGTATTGGGTGGAATGATCTTTGTAGAGTTTTAGTTGGCCATCCAAGGGTCTAAATCTCAACCAATCAGAAGAGTGCGTAAAGGACCATTGGGAAGTCATTCTCTGGGGTTTTCTTGTTCTTCTACACACTCAACAGCATTAGAGAAGAGCTCTCAGGGTCCAGGTAGGGATTTAGTTGTAGTGGCGTATGCGGACCCCCACGGGTGGGGTATGGTTCTTAAGAGCACGTGCCCAATCTCATGGAAGCCTGCCGCTCAGTAGCTCCTGGTAATTGACTGGTGCCACATGGAAATGGGGCCTCGTGTTGACAAATCTCTTGATTCTCCCCTCCCCACCCCCCACCCCAGGAAGAGGTAGCAATATAGATGCTTATCACTCATTTTTAAAAGCCAGCACTTTGTTTTTTAAACACAGCCCTGTATCGGCCAGATGAGATGGGTGTGTAGCTTGATCAGACCTTCAAACCACCATTTTACTGCTTTGTTGCACGTTGGCAGTTGAGTGGCCGGCCAAGGGGTTAACCCCCAGGCTCTCACCAGTCTCCCCTTCTACAAGGGGATGCCTAGCAGTGTGTTTCAAAGGAAACTTCAGGAGTGCCCAAGAAGACAAGACTGGTCAACTGAATGGCTTGGGATGCCGAAGGCAGCAGCATGTAGCTGTTGCCAGTCTGGGGCTTGTGTACTAGGTTTGACTATTCCCTGCTCCTTCCGTAAATGCTTCCAGCTGCAGACCTGTACTTTTTTGGCTGCTTACCTTTTGGGAAGCAGATGGCAGGTGGTTGCTTGTACATTCTGCTTGTCTAATTGGGCACGTTGAGTTGACAGAGTTTGCACTGTAGCTGAGTCTAAAGAGATGCAAACAAATAACCGAAACTCAAAGAGAACTGGCTCAGCAACCTTCCTGGGGTTGTTAACTTATCATGGAAGTGATTTATTTCCAAATAATTTGAAAGCTTTTCCATAATAGGGTGTTGTACCTTTAATACCGCGCCTCCTCTATCAGGGGCCGTAGGAGACTGCCGCTCAAACTGGCGCACGCAGCTAAGGAGAAAGCAGATGGTGGTGCAGCTGCTCCCAGCTGTGGTCCCCGCCCTCCCCTTCCCCAGCCTGGATGATGTAATGGAAACAAGGGAAATGTTGCTTTCTGCAGCATCAGAGTCTCTAGCCTGTCAGTGCCACACACACGGGGGAGAGAGAGCCCAAGCCTTCATTTGTTTTACGCTCCCATGTGATCCTTTGTAGCCAGAGAAGCTTCTTCGTGTCCATTCGTGAAATGGACTCAGGGTGAACCATGTCAGCTGCTGTGGGCAGAAAGTTTCAGGGCCTCTGAGTGTGTGTGTGTGTGTGTCTGTCTGTCTGTCTGTCTTTGCTGGGCTACCCTTCCCCCAGCCTGGTTATTGACCTGCAAGGTCTTACCTTTGTATCTAAAGATGCAACCCCCCCCTGCTCCCCCATTTTAAAGGCAGAGCAAAGTACTTTAATCTTTGAGCCTTCTTCGAAGCTGATTTCATTTCTACCTGTGGAAGGTGGCTTCAGGCTGCTCTATCTTGTTCAACTCCCATTTGTTTGCCCAGAAATTGTAATCTAAAATATCGGCCTGGTGTTGGACATCCTGGTTGGGGGTGACTCCCGCCCTTCATTTCTCATCCTGGCATTTCCACTTTAGGAGTGAGGTTTCACGCTGAGAGCGATTCAGAGCAAAAGTTAATTTTGTCAACTCCAGTTTGGTTGTCTTCTCTGTTGATTTTACTTTTTATGTAGCAGCCATGGTAGGCTTAGCCCGTCTGCCTGTAACACCATCATAGAAATAATTTTTTGTGGAAATAAGTGTGTAAGAGCTCTTGTTGGTCACTGGGTGTCAGAGGCACTGGGCTAAATATGGAAAAATCACTGAGAAGCTCGGGATTTGAGTCCTTTACCCCCAGTGGACAGTCTTACCCCTTGGCCTGTGTCTCTGTTTTCTCCCCTGAAGAAAAAGAGTCAAGTAGTTGATGTCTTTGGGTCCTCGGGACCTGTGCATTTTGTGATGCTGTGATTTTGTGACTTGTACCTCAGCAAGAGTGAGGAGTATGTTGACAGACACAGTGCTGGTTGTGGGAGCATGTCTTTAATGCCCACGACAATCAGATTCCCAGTGCTTCCTGAGAGCTCTTGTTGTTAATATACAAATTCTTTTTTCCCTTAAATCAGCATTCCATTGACTTACTGTGTTAATGACCAACCTGATTGAAAATGGGGTGGTCTTTTGAGCAAGCAGCATTAGGAATTACAGCTGCATGGTCATGTGTCCAGACTGGGGGAGGGGGGTGTGCAGGAAATGCATTTGCTGCAGGGTCCTCAAAGCTGTGCCATCTCCAAGCAGCTGCCCTGGGGAGAGAACACTGCCCGCAACCCTATCTCATTAACCCCATCTCTTTGGCCACCATGGAGGAGTTGTGCTGCTTCTGCTAATTTGAAAGGGAAACATGGTGGTTAGCAGGGATTTGGGAGCTGAAGACTAGGCCCTTAGGAGAACTGCCCTAGATGCCTGGGAGCTGCCGATGACCTGCCTGTGACTTTGGGGGGGCGGGAATTTGCCTTGGGAGCCTCCACGGGGAAGCCCCCACCACCTGGGAACTGAGTCGGTGAGCAGTGTGGGGTGAGAGGCTACTGTTCCCTGGCTTCTGGCCTGCTCCGCATCTTACCACCCACGAACCAGCACCCAAACCAGACCAGGAGTTGAAGTTTCCTAAGGTCCTATGAGCGTACTTTTTCTTTTCAGCATTTTGAAAGTGAAAACCTGGAAAGCATTTTAGATTCCATAGAGTAAAATCAAAATAATTTAATGCCTTTTAGTGAAATACCAAGTGTTTTTGACGTGAGGGGGCGGTTTTCCAATATTTCTGAGCATTTGTAGAGTGTATTGTGATGTCACGAATCCTGAGCCAGTTGAGAAGCAAGGTCAAGTGCAGCACTGATTTATTTTGGTAATGACATTTCCTCTGTGGTTGGCAGTAGGGCAAATGCAGTCTTATAGAGGGGAAAATGGAAAGCTCTCTTTATGAAGAGGTTTGGGCCATTAGAAGAGATGGCTTAATTCTCTCTCTGCTGCTCGGGTGCATGGGGTCACCGAGACTTGATGTGGTTGGCCTCCATGTGGACAGACTGCTTCTGCCCCGGGACCTTCTGTGTGGGCAGCTGTCCTTAGGGATAGTTAGGAGAGTGAGACCTCTCTGTTCCTGAGGGCGCGCACGCTCACGCTCACGCTCTTTCTTTCACTCTCCGCTTTCCTTTCCTTTTTCCTACTTTTACATAGCTGTGTGTCTCTTTTTCTGGTAGATAGTTGGAGAGGAGATAGCAAGAGGACAGGAGAGGAGAGAGGTTTTTGATCAGCAAACTTGCCTGAGATTGAATTTCATAGGAACAGGCCATTAGTTTAAAACAAAGCCGTGAACCACGGGGATGCCTGGATGCCTTTTTGTTTTGCCGCTGAAAACTCCGGTCTAGCAGTGTGGTCCAGTATCTCCCATAATCACATCAGGGTAGGGATAGGTGCAAACATGCCTTGACCAATGGCTTTAAAGACAGAAATGTAGCCCCTAAAATTTTGGACTTTGGAATCGCAAGGAGGCTTGGCCCTGCCACTTCTAGATACCAGACTTTGGGCAAGTTGCTTTTCCTCCCTGTGCCTCTATTTTCCACAAACGCAAAAGGGATTTAAGTAGATCCTACTTCATGGGATGGTTGTAAGAGTTAAACAAATGAATTGTGCTCTGGGATTCCCCCTACCACGCTGGCACAGTGTCGTGTCGGGCTTTGGGTGAGAGCTGAACTGAAAACGGAAAGTGCTCTTGCCCTGGCCTGGGCTACAGGCTTTACATATGATTTCCATCTACTGCTCACAACAACATTGTGAGATGGGTATTCTAATCCCCGCTGTGTAGATGAGGATGCACATGAGGAGTAGAGCCGGAAGGGTTCAAATCTGGGTCCGTCTGACCCCCAAAGCTGGGCTCTTTCCACATGTCTTCCTTCCTTCCTTGGTGGAGGTCATTGTATGTTAATGACGAATCAATATTGAGCACCGCCCGTATCCCAGCCCGGGGCTCGGGGCTGTTGGGGATACACCAGTGAACCAGACAGACGTGGTCCCTGCCCTCATGGAGCCATCACAAGTTCCTTTGCAGGAAACTCTGACCTCGGGTCAGGGCCATGTGCCAGAGCTTTCTGGGAAGTCGGAGGGCCCTTTGAAGATGGTCACCTTCCACTTAGCCTTTTGAAGCCTGTTCTTGGCCACCAGCGTCCAGGGCACCTGGCCCACTGCTGGCAGGAAGAAAGCTTCTCAAATAACGCAGCAGGGAGGATCCTAGATCACAAGGCTGGCCCTGCTGGTGGCCAGGAAGCTGTCTGGAAGATTCTGGTGCCCTGAGATCCTACAGGCGGCCTGGCCAGAGCAATTGCTGGGCAGTGGTTTTCTCCTTTTATGAGCAAATGTCTTCAAGGTCCTTGCCTGGGGACAGCTCCAGGGATGGCCCCTTTCTTGCTGTGATGCCAGGCCTACTGGTTAGCCCTGGAGAGAAGAACTGTGAGGACTGGATAAATTCGGGGGGCAGGGGGCGGGTTGAGGAGGAAGACGTCTCTGGGCCAGTCCTCTCCAGTTGCCGACCTGAGCCCTGCCAGCTGGGGGAGCAGTGGACTTGGAATGGCCCCTCTGCCTACTTCCTAGAAGTACTGACAGAAGAGGGAAGGGGGCCATTGGAGTGAGGTGGTGGCGGGTCATGTCAGCATGGGTGCACACAGGCAGGCACAAGTGAGCATTGGTTAGTCAGTCAGAGACTGAGATCTGTGGTCCCCAGGCTCCTCCTGGCTTCGAGAACTGCTTGGGAAAGTGAGGAGCATCCCTTTTCAAGACCAGGAAGGTGGCCTATGTCTGGAGGCCCCGGAGGCCCTACTGTGGAAATGGCTATAAAATCCAAGCCCTGTGGGATCTCCAGGCCACTTGCAAAAGTGACGCGTGGCGCCTGAGGTGAACTTGTTTTTCTGCATCTGGACATCATGTGGCATCTTTGATTTCCTCTTTCTGTCTGACCAGTGATTCAGGGTATTATTTCGAGTGAGTTGGCTGCAAATGTGAAGCACAAAGAACTGGGCCCTAAGAACAGACTAGAAGCCCTATAAGGCAAGGATCCCACCCTGACACAGAAGGTATCAGTAATGTTTGTTGAATATATGCATATCAGAATAATGGGTCAAAACAAAGAGAAGTCGTTAAAACAAAGAAAGGTCGGTGAGTAATCCTGAGCCCAGAGGGCCTCTACTGTTAGACGCACTGGCTAGAAAAAAGGGAGAAAGCAGGGGAAAAAAGGAGAAAGATGTTTGCATATTTAATGGTCTTCCTAGATTGAGAAAGCAGCAGCCCTGGTTTTTGCTTTCGTGTTGGCAGACTTTAGTTCAAGAGGTAGGAAGGATTTCTGCCCAGTAGGCACAGTAGTAGAATGAGGGTTAATTCTGGACTCCTCAGAACAAATGAATAATGGGGGGTTTTGAAATAGTTTGGTTCCTGTGAGAATAGCAAAGCCAGCATCATCAGCGTTTTGACCGGGGAGTTTAATGTGTGGGGGGCGTGCAAAGGTTTATGCACAAGGTATGAGACCGTGTACAATCTGGATAGAAAGTAGGATGGCTCAAGAATTGGTCATAAGAGAAAAAAAGGAAAAGAATGTTGAAGTATTACCACGTTATGCTTTCTAACTGCTTTACCACGGTAGTGGATGAGTCCTGGGATTCAGGGAAGACGTGGATTCAGAAGTCATTTATTGCGGGCCTGCATTGTGCTTTGTGAATGGGGACAGCAGATGTAAAATCTTTAACATAGCGGACCCATGTGACCAGTGACTGTGGGCTTTTTTGTTTTAGAATGTGTTGCCTTGTTTATTCCTCATGACAGCCCAGTGGTATAGGTCCTGCAAATATCCCCATTTTTATAGCTGAGGAAGCTAAGGCCCAAGGTCAAGTTAATTGCTCAAGGTCACACAGTAAAGAAGTGGTGGAGCTGACCAAATCTGAAACCAAGCCAGTTTATGCAATTACCTACAGTTGATCCTTGAACAACATGGGTTTGAACTGTGCAGATCTACTTCTATGCAGGTTTTTTTAGATAAATACAGTACAGTACTGTAAATGTATTTTCTCTTCCTTATGATTTAAAAAATAATTTACTTTACCGCCGGGCTCCCACGGTCCTCACTGGTAGACTGGCAGGAAAACTGAGATCAGACAAGAATCAAAGATGGCAGCCGTAAACCCAACTGAATTGTAATCACACTTTAAGTAGAAGGACACAAAACACTCCAACGAGTTGAGATAATTAAAGTAGATTAAAAACAACAACAAAATAAATAAATGAAAAATAAAAAATAATTTACTTCAGCTTACTTTACTGGAGGACTGCAGTATGCAGTACATGTAACGTACAAAATATGTGTTCATTGACTGTTATTGGTAAGGCTTCCCGTCAACATTAGGCTATTACTAGGAATTAAGTTTTTGGGAAGTCAAGTTATACTTGAATTTTTGACTGTGCAGGGGGTCGGCGCCCCTAACCTCTGTGTTGTTCAAGGGTCAGCTGTACATACCGGTATGGAAGGAAGTCTATTCTGCACTAGAGATATCCAGAGCTTAGTGGTAGGGCAATGGAAAGTGTGATCATTCATGACTGGGGAATGCACGGGTCTCTAGTTGAGAATGCAAGAGAATGAAAGAATCAGAGGCAGAGAGGCAGACTTCTCTGAGTTAACTTGGAATGGGAAAAGGCCACTTCACGTTTGTTTTTTACTTACTTTGGACTATAGACCCCTTTGAGAATCTGTAGAAAGTTGTGGCTCTTCTCCGTAGGAAGAGGCATGCTTGCGTGTAGTTGTAGGATCGCTGCATACAACTCGAGGTGATGTCTGGAGACTGGGTCTAGACTTGCTACCATGGGGAGAGAAGGAAAGGGCATTCAGGTCTAAGCGGACAGTGTGATAGAGGCACGGAGCCCTGAAAGGGCACAGCTCTTGTGCTCTGAGAAACGAGGGTGTATCCAGGAGGGTGATGGTGGGCCAGCCTGGAAACATGGGCCGCCTCTGCATCATGGAGGACCTTGAATGTCACGCCATGGTGTCTGGTGCTCATTCTGAGGACAAAGGGAAACCATTACGTTTTTCCCGGAGAGATGATGTGACTCAGCCTGTGTCTTACGAAGCTGGCTGTGCAGGCGTGTAGACAAGTTAGATGACTATTGCAGGAGCCCAGGGGGGAGAGGAAGAGGCCTGGACCAGGTACTGGCATGTTGGGCGGAGAAGTTTCAGACATGGAACCAACAGGACTGGCTGACCTGATGGGATTTGTGAAAGAGAAGGAGGAGTTGAGTGGTGTCAGGGTTCTGCTGCAGGGGGCCTGGAGGATGAAGTGTGGGGAGTGGAGACAGGAGAAGCAGGTTTGTAGAGAGGGGAAGAATGAAAGGTTGAGTTTTGTCATGTGCTTGAGGGTACCGGGTGGCCACCAAGGCTGTGTGGGGGCTCGCCAGCAGCAAAGTGGTCCCCGGAGCTGTTGAGAGCGGTGGGGATGGCCTGTGAGGCACAGGCTTACCGTGGGTCACTGTGAAGCTGGCATGGATTTCAAATGAGGTGCCTATAGCAGTGGGAGAATGAAGAGCTTGCCTTTGTAAGAAAAAGCGAGACCCATCGGTGGTTCCCCAGCCTGACCAGCAGCAGCAGAAGCACTTGAGAAGCTTAAAAAGAAATGAAAACAAAAACTGACTCAGACCGATTGAATCAGAACCTCTGGGAG